ATTTCTGGTCCGGGGTTGGGCTCAATGCCCGCCCTGCGAAGAAGGTTGCGGAGCATGCAGGCTGCAAGGCATTGCTCAATGGACGAAAAACGATTGATCGGGTTTACCGATCTAAACGGTGCGTAGAACTGGCTGTCGGGGGAATGAACAAATTTCTGTTATTGTTGTTGTTGTTGTTGTAGCAGCTACGAAGCCCCGTTCGGGGCGGTTTATTCATCAACGTTGTCGACAATTTCAGCTAGGGGGAGGCCCAGGAAGTGTGCTACTTCCACAGGCGCTGTTCATAGGGACAGGGGCGTTAGCTGAGTGGGGAAATCCATCAAACAAATTTCTGTCACCTCATTCGCTTATAAATTACTCGTTGAATGAACTTATCCATCTACGATTTCAAGCATGAATTTATTAAAAACTTTAGAAGGAATGTATGTGATTGTGTATTTAGTAATTTATTTGCTTTTGCTTTGCTTTGCTATGCGCTTTTTAAGTATATAACTTTTAACTGTTTTATTGTTTATAAGTNTTTTTTTTTTGCTTCTGATTTTAAACGTTAAACGCACTAATTATGTAGCACTACTCATACATACATATTATGTATTTGAAATTGTTTCGTTTTCTTGTTTTTATTTAACAAACATACATACATTCATGCGAACTATGTCATGTTGAATGGTGCGCTGCAGAGATTTGGTGTGGAAAGAAGTCGTTGCTTTCCATTTACATAAGCGTATGTTATACATACTATAATAAATTTAGTTATATATATATATACATATGTATGCATGTATATGGGTATACGTTTTTTTGCTGCATGAAGTAAAGTTTATGCAATATTTACGTTTTATGCAGGTGAATGAGTGTGCTATTAAATACAACATCCTAAATGCTAACGACTAATTAATGTTATATGCACTATAGTGTATGTTTTTATATATTTTGTTGCTTTACTAAACATACATACATATGTATACACGTTGAGTATATAAATATATCAATGTATAATAGTATATGATATAAGCACGCATGTATATAAGGTATAGCAATAAATTAATATTAGGTGCAACTGTCTTTGCGTACGTTTGCATAAACATTCCTCAGCAAAACAAGCGTCAAATCAAATGTGTTACCATATTTTCTATATTTACATACGAACGTTTATCGGTTGATGCGTTTAAATGGTTTTTCCTGGTGATTAGTTGGAGAGCGTCTAATCAGAAGATGATATTTCATTTGCCGACGAACTTATTAGTCGAGTTTCCGTTATTATTTAAACTTCACAATAAACTACCGTTGATACCCCCTAATATTATGCTTCAAACTATGATTCGGTTGCTTTTTAGATTTTGCCGGAGATTAAAGTCTTATGTTAATATCATCACCTGATTAGATACAACTCAGTTGTTGAGTATGTTATATTTTTAATAATCAATAGTATGCAATGCATAATTACGTTTACTTCCGTTTGTTTTTCGCTGCTATTTCAATTTGATATTAAGATTACATGGTATTGGTTTTGTATTTTGCGTATAAATATTGCATTCGTTTATGAATAACAACATCAAAATGTGTGTGTTTATGCGTATGATTATGTATGATTATTGTTGCCTACTTTTGCGCTCATAATTATTAATATATTCGTTTTAAGTTTCCATGCTTCAATGGAACATATGTATGTATGTGTAAAACAGCCATATAAATCGCAGCTCTAATGCGTAGCATAAAATTTAAGATTTTTTTGTAAGCTTTAAAACACCAGCAGGATAATACTGTGGTATTAATAGGCTTTCGGGCAGTGGTCGTCGCGGTGTGCAACGCTGCTGCGCCTGGCGTATGATGTTGGCGATTTTTCCTGCACCAAAAAAAGGTTTGGATTTTAATTAATTTTACTGTGAAATAGTCTACAACTACGTACCTAATAAATTTGCTTCTACAAAGCGTTTATCTAAATGCCTGAGTACGCTGAGATTTTTCGTGCGCACCCATTGTTGCAATATATCAGCGACTTTAACTGGCACCAAAGTAGTTGAAGTTTCCTGGTGATCCTTGAAAAGTATACATAGAATGATATTTTTAAAACTAGTGGCTAAATAAAAATTTGTTAATTGTAAAAATAAGTTGATCAATCAGCTATTAACGGAAACTAGTGACCTTTTGTTGTTGTTGTTGTAGTTTTTTGGGTGTATTGCTGGAGTGACAGTCCTTGGCCAGATATAAATCTACCCTTTTGCTTGTTGTTGTTGTAGCGGGTACTAGACCCCGCTCGAGTCTGCTCATCTATTAACGTTGTCGACTGTTTCAGCTGAGGGGAGGGCCTGGAAGTGCGCAGCATTAACGGGATCTGTCCATAGGGACAGATGCGTTAGCTGGGTGGGGTTTAGGGGCATGCGAAGAGGTGCCGTGAGTCATGTGGCAACTCTCCGCATGCCGGGTACTGGTTGGGCACATCCTCGTTTATTCTGCTCAGGTATGAGTTTAGCCCGTTGCAATAGCCAGAGCGAAGTTGGGTTATTGTGGTGCGAGTCTCCCGAGGCAGACAAAGTTCTGTCCCGTCCACGTCAGGTGGTTGTGTGCTCAAAACGGCATTCACAGATCGAAAGTCTATATAACTCGATAACGACTCCCTGTGAATGCTGTTCAGGGCCTATCTTTATGCAGTTGGGTTCAGAGGTTGTTTAATGAACCTCTGGACTTCGTCCATCAGCTAGTAGAGGTGCCTCCTGACGTGCCTTGGCGAGGGCTCTTCAAGCAGTTGCCCTTTCGCGTTTTGTTGTTGTAGCGGCCCTGTTGCTCGTTGTTGTTGCTCTAGTATGGTCGCTTCTAAACCTATTAATGTGCTCATTTGCTGGTACAGCGACTATTGTTGTCATTAGCACCTGCCATTTGTCATATTTACCTGTTGAAATTGCACTTCCACTTGCTGTCGCGTAGCCAACTCTATCAAGCGTTTCAGCTTGTGATGATTGCAGTGTTTCTTCGATTCATGTATGAGTAAATGCTTCAAATCCCTAAATTCTTTAAAGTTTCTGTGCATGCCCAACATTGAAGGAATTGTCGTTGTTGTGGTTGTTGTTGCAGTGGCAGCATTAGAAGCATAATACAGCTGAGATTTAATTAGTTCCAAATTATAAGATACATGAAGTTTGTCCTGAGGGTTAAAGAAAGAAATTTGAATAGCTTTACGTTGCAAAGAACTCCTAATCCTCATACTCACCAGTGCCTGCACCAGCAACTCCTCGCTTAAATTTAAAGTGGGAACTGTGACAGTTTCCTTTTCAGTCAATAATAAGTTCTTTAGAAGCTGAAAGTTATTTTGAGGATGCTCGCTACTCCCACCCGTCGTGGTCCGTCTTTGGTTCATGCCCTCCTCTTCTGTTTTGAATTGCAACACCTCATCATCGCATGTCCGTGCACGCATTCGAGTACGTACGCGAGCTTTGAGTTTTGTCTCACTGGCACTCAGTCCACTATCATCACAACTAACACTATCACCTAGCCATCTATCGTTCTTTAACATGCGTATATCTCTAAAAGCCGTAGTTGCCCAGTCTACATTCCTTGGTTGCAAATAATTACCGACTGCTGTCTCAAAAATGCATTCATCACGTGCATCTCTGAAGATCAATGGTGAACCGCTGCGGCAGCGCGTTGCTCCAGTTGATGTTTGTGCTGCGCGTTTAAAGAGCGCTATGCTGCTGCTACTACGCTTGTGGCAACGTGTACACTCATTTGAATCTATGGCTTTGCCAATTGTGTTCGCCAAAAATTCTTTTTCCAAGCAGTCCAGGCAGGTGTCATCATTCACACTCGAATCATCGCATTCGTTTGTTGTTGTGGTGGCTGTGTTGGTGACTAGGCCAGTTTCGGCGCGCATGCATTCCTCTGTACTTGCCGCAATCTTGGGCGCTGCGCAGCGAAACTCGGTGCAACTAGCGCTGCGCTCATCGAAGCTGGCGCTATTGCAGAGCGTTGCTAGGGCATAGGTGGAGCGCAGCGAGTTCCGAGATTTTGAAGAATTTTTGGAAGATGTCGATGAAGATGTTGAGAATGTGGAGAAGCGTTTCGGTTTGGCGCCTTTAAGAATTAACATTAACGTTTATTAAAACATACATTACATGGCAAATAATTATGCACCTGTTACTTTCGAAGGAATTGCCTTGCTTTCATCTTTTGAGTGTAGCAAATCTCGCCCAAAATTCGAGAGTAGCGTATTCGGTAGGGAATGGGCCGCGTTGATTTGAGCAGCTTTCGTGGCCGCGTCAACTGCATCATCGGCCATACCCAACGCCGATGCGCGATCACTATGTGTGCGCTCATAAGAATCACATTCGCCACTCCCTCCTTTAATTTGATCCAAATGCATGGTAATTCGAGCAAAATTTTTGCTAAGCATTAGCTGAGATTGAAGTGTTTTAGTTGCCGGTGGTGGTAAGCTGTCATCGATCGGCGAACTGAATAACAACCGTTGCGCCGCAGTCGTATTTTTGTTAAATTTACCTAATGTTGCTGACTGTCGACCACTCAAATGGCAAGCATCGCGGTGCATTAGGAATGCATCTGTATGACCAGGCGGAGCTTCAACCGAACTATACTCGACCTCTGACAATGGGTCAGGCTCGAAGTCCATCTCAAGAAAGTCTGTTTCGTCATCAGCCATGCAAGGGTTGCCAGTGCCGTGCCCCCGTCCGGCAATGGCATCTAAAGCGAGATCAAAGTCCGCACCGTCACCACGATACGCATAAACACAATCATCTGAGTTGAGCGAAATCTCCTCCGCGTCCACATCTACATCATCGACGTCATCGTCACCCTCCAATAGCAATAGGTCGTCAGCGAAGTAGTTATCACTGTTGTAGCTGAGATTCTCCGTGGAGTTGTTGAGCGAAGCGCTACGCGATACCACTCCAGTACCAGCTGCGGCTGCTGCAAACACATCAAATGTACATGCATTGTAATCGCTGGGTGTCGAAACAGCAGCAGCAACAGACATCGCTGCTAATGCAACGTGCGAAGATGTGGGCGTTGCAATGTCTATAGCGGCAGCACCGTTTTGCTGTAAAACAAGTGAAACAAATGAATATTAGAAAAACAAGTTCTTTCCCAAGAATGCAAAGAATTTCAAACCTTCTTATTTGAATCGCCATTGGCGCCTGCCATACCAGCGCAACTACTATCCGCTGTAACAAAGCTCGCGCCAGTAATCCCAGCTGTTTTTCTTTCGCTAATGTCAACTTCGCCTCCACAGCTACCACCGCCAACACCTTCACTTCGTTTTTCGATGCCGGTAAATGACGCATCTGTTGTTGTATTTGCCAAAGCTACCGTTGCAGCGCCAGCAGTCCCCGTCGCCGCCGTTGTTGTTATGCCGACGTTGCACTTGGCTTGCGCGTTTGATTCTAGAGCATTATTGTTATTATTGTTATTTTGTATATGTTGTTGTCCACAAGTTAGCCAGCTGCTACCGCTGCCGCCGACACCACTAATGGCATCCCCACCACTTCCTAGACAATTACAGTCATCCTGTGCTGAAACAAAACCCGTGACTGCTCCAACATTAGTACCTACATGCGCTGCATTGCCACACCGACTACCACTTAGTTTTTCTATGTCAGAATTCTTTTTGAAAAAAGTACCATTGCCACTGCTACGCCCTTGCAAATTTTCCATCGCCACTGATTCGTTGTTGATTTCAGCTGCCCTATTAATGCGTTGCGTAGCGTTGGTAATTCAGTTGAAGACTGTCCTTCAATGGTAAACCAATTCCCTTGTAATCTATGTATGAAACGAAATATTTGTTACAAACGCGTTTTTTGTAACTTTTGTTTGTTTCCAAGTCTGTCTGCGATTTGCTTTTTTTTGTGGCCCTGGAGCGTATTAAACGTTTTCAAACTCTGCATTACCACGAAACCACAATCGATGAAAGTTTAGTTGTTTCGTACTGGTTTTAACTTTTCAACATTTTCTTTGTTTTTTATGTAGCACTTTTTTATTGCAAGAAGTGAAAAAATTTCCAATGCACAAAAGTCGAAAACAGCAGCAACTTTGACAGATTGTTTTTTGTCCAATCTGCTTCACCTTATTCTTTGATAGTTGACAGTGTTGCGATCGCAGGTTAAACCTTCAGGGTAATTTTCGGCCACTGGTAAACGCAAACAAAGTATATGCTCGTACGAGAAATAAGCTCAATTTGTAATTTTTTAAATCACTTTTAAATAATATATACTACCGATTTATTTAATTTGCGTTGTTGTTATAACCCAATCGTAAGTTTAACAAAAAACCCACTAAAACGTACGAAGCCGTATAGTAGGAAAATTTTTAAATTTTGAGATGTGATACTGGCAATCCTGATTGGTTGTTTTCAAATTGACCCGCCGTGCGAAAATTAATAAATAAACAAAACATGTAGAATACGGGAAAAATGGCTTTGAATATGCAAATAAAAGTGAGTAAATACAAGCAGGGCTATCTAAAAATCGAAAAAAATTAATACTGCGCTCCATATATGTACCTGAATTAAAATACACCTGGATACACGCCGCAGTAACACCCAATATGTCTTCCTATTCGTTCCATGGCACTTCTAAAACATGGACTCCGCGTGATGAGTTTGAAAGCCAACAAATTACGGCAGCTGATTCAAAACAGGTAATTTAAAGGAATGTGATTTGAAGAATACCAATTGTAATAGCATCCACGTTATTAAACTTATACCTATATATGTATATCTGATATGCAGGTCTACAATGACTGCAGCTTGCAGGACATTAGCTGCGAGCTCGACAACGAGAAATGGAGTGTTAAACAACTTACATGCCTGTTACGCCTCTACGGCGCTCATCGCTGCCTCTGGGACACATGCCATCCGGATAATCGTAATCGCAAACTGCGTAAAGCGGCACTGATTGATATCACAGCAGCCATGGGTGATGGTGTTACATTTGCGCAAGTTTTGCAAAAGATCAATGTTCTCCGTGCCACTTATCGCTACGAAAAACGCCGCATTAAGCAGCGTATACGAAGAGGGATAGGCGCTAAAACTAAGTTGAAGTGGTTTGCTATAGCGGATTCGTTCTTGAGGAAAGTTCCCAGGACAGAGAAAAATAAGAAGACAGAGGTATTTGGTTTTTTAAATTTGTCTTTTATATTTAGCATAAGCTGAATTTTTTCGGAATAGGACGATAATAGCGACTCGGATTTGGAAGAAGCTATAGTAATAACTGTCGATTCTGAAACGTTGATACCATCAGAAAACGACGCTCTTGCGCAATATTTAGATGTTGACATCAAAATGGAGCCTGAGGAGGTACTTACTTTACTCTATTTAAAATATATTCATTGACAACCATTTAACGTTTATTAAATTTGTCAACATTTAACAATGCAAATTCTTTATCGGCCCACTAACGAATACAAAATCACGTTGCCCACCTTCATATAATGCCAAAGAATCTAAGCTCAAAATCACATTCAATAGTTTACATAAAAAAAAAATGTTTCTTAGTTAATACTCCCTTTCTGTTCAGGAGCATGCAAGTGAGACAAATAAAAGCTACCCAGGGAACGCATCTTATCTGCCAGCTAAAACTGGAGGCAGCTTTACAATTGCAGGAGAAAATGCTTTAATTGAACAACGTAAATGGACTACTCACGAGTCCTTACAGTTTGTTTTTCTGTTACGTTCTTATCCACTGCTTTGGCAGTTGACGCTAGGCGATGAAACTGAGATTGAGCAGCAGTCTTTTGTGCAGGTAAAAGCTTTGGAAGAGATTTCACGTACATTGCAGCTGCCTAAGCATCGCTTGCTGAAACGCTTACAAATCTTCCTGAGCACCTACCGACTGGAGATAGCGAAAATTAAAGAGGATAGTNAGCAGCAGTCTTTTGTGCAGGTAAAAGCTTTGGAAGAGATTTCACGTACAATGCAGCTGCCTAAGCATCGCTTGCTGAAACGCTTACAAATCTTCCTGAGCACCTACCGACTGGAGATAGCGAAAATTAAAGAGGATAGCGCATATAAACCGGATTTTGTTTGGTGGCCCATGGTACAGGAGTATCTAGATACCCCCAAGCTGGAGTCGGTAAATGCGATTGAAAGCCATGCCGACTGTAGTCAGCCTGCTCACAATGCATCTGAGCCAATAGATGGCTCAAGCTTTGACACATCATCTTTTAAACCAACTTTTGGTTTTCCTTTAAGCGCGTCAGCCTCACCAGCTGTGTCCCCAATTTGCTCACCACCACCTATAAACGAAGACAGCAATAGTATGAGTGGCTGCCCCTTTACTGAGCATCAAAATTTCAGCAAACCACCCATGAAACTCATCTGGAATGGACTCGAAGACAATCTGCTCGAAGGCAAATGGTCGCTCAAACATTCTGTGAAATTCTTACGTCTCTATGGTGCACACCGCTGCCTTTGGGATCTTAATGATTCAGATTATCGTTCGCGTGAAATGCGTACTGCTGCTATTGAAGATATTGCCGCCGCTATGGGCTATGGCTTGGACGCTGAATATGTAGCGAAAAAGATAAAAATCTTTCGCATTACTTATATGCAGCATAGGAAACGTATGCTGGAGGCCATCAAAGAAAATCGTGAGCCCGATATACAATTACGTTGGTTTCCCTTAGCCGACAGCTTCTTGCGTCCACACATTGGCTTGCGGTCGATTAAGGAACAAGAGCGCGAAATGCCGCAATTCGATTTTCAATATGTTTATGCGAATTTGAATTTAATTGATCCAGGCCTGCTGGCTGATTTGAAGTGAATTACGATAAAGGCCTATATGAATACGTAATATATTTTATGTACTATATACATACGTATATTTTAAGATCCTTAAAGGATAACTAACCTTCAGCACCGCAACTTAGCTAATAGGTTTCTTATGATCTAAGTCAATTTGTATATTTTATGCCGCCATATAAATGTATGCATATGTACATATATACAAAAAAAAAATATATTTAACAAATACTTAGTACTTCTCTACGCTACATCTTCATCCTGTTCACCCTCTGTTAGTTGCACGATCGACGCCAGTTTTGTTTTCCACAGTTACACGACTTGTACTTTCCTCTTGACTTGACTTGACTTCCACGTGCTTATGTTGCTGCGATAGCATATTTGGGTTACTTTGTTGAGCACTTCTCGACTGCCCATTCGGTTGGCTTGTAGCACGTCGTTCCAACGGTTCCAGATACTTTAAGGGGGCCCCTAAATAGTGGTTTGGTGCTTATATCACTGCCACCTCTACCAGGATAACGAAAACCATAGTTTGTCAATACACGTTGGGCTCTTTATGCATTCTCACTTGTGCTCGATCACGCTGTAGAAAATCTTTCATTTCACGATGTAGTATACTACCCAAATTAGTATGGGAACCCCTCTGAGGTACCACCTTTCCTTTAAAAAAAATAATTATAGAAATTGGTTGACGTAGTAAGTACATCCAAATTAAAAAATATATATATTCCGACGAATTAATAACCTCCTTCTTTTTTGAAGTCGGTTAAAAAAAACTTTACCAATTATTTAATATTTTAGGTATGCAGTCCATCAAATTTTAGCAAGTTTCAAGACGCTAGAAAATCGCGTTGATTTTTAATAATTTTTTTAGCCGACGGTTTTGTGCATTTTCTTCCCCACGGGGGAGCCACTACTTGTAGTTCTTTCATAAGATCCGGCAGCCCAATTTTTATTAGAGCTACATACGTACTATTTTGTTAGTGGCGTCAACAGTTGTGTTTAATTTGGTGGAACAGCAAAGCGATTTATTTATCTATTTATTTATTACAGTCTGTTAGACTTTTATTACAACAAAGATTTAACATTCTTATAATTATATTTAGATTTAAAATTTAAATATGTATTAAATACAAAATGCTTACGGAAATTTTGAAATAACATTATTTCTTTATCACTGCAATTATTTTATGTCAATATAAAAGCATGCAATTTTCCGGAAGTTATGTAGACGGTTGGAAAGGCCGAGTTTCCAATCCGCGCTATATTTTTTGGGTTACTCCGTTACTTGATAACTCCTGGGTGGTCGAAAAGGCCGAGTTTCCGATCCACCCAGTCTCGATATCTTGTTGGTTGGAAAGGCCTAGTTTCTAATCCACGTTATTGTTGATACATCACTATCTTGTAGGCTGCGTTCTACAATAGTCATATAGCAACCGCTTGAAAAGAGTGATAGTATCACAATTTTTTATAGCCTCTGGTAATTCATTAAAGCACTTTAAGCCTTTATAAAAAATAAGTTTTCTGTCACATTTATATATCGGAGATTATCGCTAAGATAATCCGACAGGTTGTCCTTCTGTACAAATTCGTACAAATTTTTTGCTCGACGAACAAACCTAATATTGTACACAAATAAAAACTTCTTGCTTCACGCTTAACCAATTTAAAGGTTTCAAACATACATCTTGTCGGTGTGTCGTACGGTTTGTTGGGGATGAATCCCATCGCTCGGTTTTGCATTTTTTGCAGCTTATCTACATGTGAGTCCGCCGCCAGGAAGAAAATCGTACGGCAGTATATAAAGTGCGGTTCTACTATTGACCTGTACACCAACGTTTTATATCTTCTTCCCAAGTATTTACACGATCTCTTTATAAGGACAATCTTTTTAGCAATCTTGTTGACTGTATACTCAACGTGCTCATCAAACTTTAGTTTGTTGTCTATGTATATTCCTAGGTACTTGACACTTTTCACCTCTTCGATTTTTACATCTTTGATTTTCAATTCACGGCTTATGGAGTCAGCATTTGTCGCCCTGGAAAATATCATAAAGTTAGTCTTTTTCACATTCAGTTCGAGTTTATTTGAACACAGCCATTGATACAAAGAATTAAGATCTTCTGCCATTTTGACTATCGCATTTGGTAGTTCCCTATCACTGATCGTTAACAAGGCATCATCCGCAAAGAGTTTTATTTTACAATGTTTGAGAAAACTTTTAATATCGTTTATATATATATTAAAGAGTAGGGGTGCCAAAACTGAGCCCTGTGGTAAGCCGATGTCTACGGCTATCTTACTAGACATCTTTGAATTAACTATTGTTTCTTGCCTACGATTACATAGAAAGCTTCTAAACCAGTCAAGCTCAGTATTTTTTATGCCAATG